CCACATTCGTCAACGCCAGGGCACGCATAAGGCCTACGTTGCTGTCTTCACTTGCACGACCATTCGAGCCGTACATCTCGAGTTAGTTCCCTCGCAATCAACTCCTCAAACGCATTTAGCCATACGAAGATTTTTAGCATCACACCCCGCTTGCATCCGATTCATATCCGATAACGGCGCATCCTTCGTGAAGGCGGCTACTGAACTGAAACGCCTGTTCAACACCGTCAGAAATGCCGACGTCCGGGAGGTTCTGAATGGTCGAACCATCGACTGGTCATTCATAACGCCGAGGATGCCGTCTCATGGTGGATTCTATGAGAGGGCTGCCGGGATTCTAAAATCAGCATTGATCAAGACCCTAGGGCGAAGCCTAATTGGTTATGAGGAGTTTCGTACCGTCTTATGTGAACTCGCAGCCATTATCAACGAGCGGCCGTTAACGTACGTTTCCAATGACGCGAACGAGCCGACTGCTATAACTCCTGCGCATTTTCCCGAGGTGGTTCCTTTCACCGCAGTTACGCTGGTCCGCTGCAGACTGATAAACTACGCAGTGACGAGTTGGCCACAGCCGACGATCTCCGGCGAGGACTCGCCTTGAGGACGACGTATTTCAAGAGTGTCTCTGTGCGATGGTTCAGGGAGTACCTGTCACTCCTTCGATCCGCAAACGCGACGCGTGGCAAGCGATCGCCTCCAATCCGTGACGACGACGTTTGCATCCTCAGAGAAGACAACGTCGCTCGGGTACGATGGCCGTTGGTTCGCGTCATCGAGGCGCACGCTGGTAGGGATGGCCTGGTTAGAACCTATACTGTGAAATTCGCCAATGGCCATACATCGCGCAGAGCCGCTCAGCTCTTGTACCCCTTGGAGGTTACGTCCGAAGATCTTCCGAGGCTCCCTATGTCTGATTCGAACGACACTGTTGCAGCTCCGCCGGAGTGATTCTTGTGATATAGCGACACCTCGTACATCTGTATATATTTCGGAGAATTCATTGTGATCCGTTGTAAATTAAGTGGAGAAACGCGAGCGTTTCCGGGGGCAATGTAAAGAATATTCGTACCGTGCGCGTTGGGTGCGCTTGTGTGGCGCCCTCGCTCTCAAGATAAACAATAAGATAACAACAAGTGTGCTAAAAAGGAACTTCGTCTCGTCATGATCACGATTCCCCTCTGAATACAAACCCAAATAATTCACAATTCTTGTCTTGGGGAAATCGTTCTCCCATAGCGATCGAGGTTGCCGGACGGAGAGCGTAGGTACTCTGCTCGTTGAATTCTGCGCCCCTGGGAGCTTGGCTCCTCGAGAACTAAATGGACAAATCCTCGTCGAGCAATGGGACCGCCCGTGCCGGTGAGTAGGTCGTCGCGAGGTTGTTTTCGGAGGGAAAAGGACGGATGAGCACAGGAATCGACCCATCCATTTTGAGGCTTGAGAAGTCTCTGGAATCTGGAGCTTGCTGCTCTCGGAGAGATTCGAGAATTCGAGCAGCCCCCGGGCAGAATCGACCAGGAAAGCCGATTCTTGCGCGTGGGAAATTAAATCAAGGAGGCTCGCGCTTGTGGAATTTACGCTACATTCAAGCTAGCGTCTCCCTGTGAGTTAACCCACTTTAGGCGTAGATTGTCGAGATGGCTTCCCGTTTCGAGTCGCTCCTTTCCAGTGGGAGACGGACGTCTCTCTAAGGGCGGTCGAGTGGCCCTCATCTTTCGAAATGGAAGAGATTGAACTCTTTGGTGAGATTCTGGGGAAGATTCCGGAGTCTGTTCTCCAAGGAAAAAATCCACCCTAACGAAGAAATCGGAATGAAGCTAGGGGAAATCAATCCACGGTGCCAGAGCAAGGTTTTGGCTAGTGAGGACGGACAGCCCTCCGCATTTTCACAAGATAATCCGAATCTCATATTCCGGCTTGAGACGGGCTGCCGACTGCTCTGCCAAAAAAATCATCAAAAACTCCGTCGACCGGAAATAGTACCGTGACTTCAATCCAGCGAATCTTAGCGGGACAACGAACGTGCCAGTCAGTCGATCAGTGAACCAGCTCGTCTCGAGGTCCAGCAACCTTCCGAAAGCTGTCAAGGCCACGATCTGGGGCGTGACGTTCCTTCCAGAGTTCATCTCATAGAGCCCTGGTGGAAAAAGATATGATGACGTAGCCCTGTGAGCTCAAACTCTGGCTCTCTGCCACTGACCGAGAACCTTGTCGGAAATGAGCGAAGCCGGCATGTTTGTCTTAGAGTTAGAGCAGAGCGTCCGTAACGCGCGTTGATCATCACCACGATGCGTCGCATCGCTGTGGAGAGTAGGCGACCCTCAGGGAGATTGCCGAAGCTCGGAGAATGGCCCGAAAACGCGTTTTAGAAACATGCGACGACAACGTGACCTTGTAGTTCAGGAATATTTTTGCTTTTCATCTCTGACGTCGATGGAACGAGGTTGGGGATGACCTGCACTACGCCGCCTATGACGTCTCGCCCGCGCGTCAAGGAACGATCAGATATCTGGAGAAGCGAAAGTTTCCGCTTCGTGTTGACGCATTCTACATCTTCCCTATGGGGAAGCCATTCGTGACCAACGACGACTCGGAACGATCGATAGGGGGGAATTTCCAAGCAGCTGGGGGGCCTGCCTGATTGTGCCCGACTCCGAAACTTAAGCAGCGATAAATTCCGAGCGGGGCCTTCCGGGCCAGTCAGAGACCGTTCGCTTACGCCGGGCGCAGACTTGCTGACTGAGAGTAGGTCACAACTCCAGGCGCGACGATAGTGACCATGGCAAGGTCATTGCCGAAACCTCGACGGCACACCTCGCTCGTGTAGGTGAAGCCTCGTGGAAGGAGTTGATGCGACGAGAAATGAATGACCGGCAGGCGGCACACGCGCATCACTTTCTCCCCGCTACGCACTCATATAAAGGGCACGGAACGCGAAAGTCGTTCTGAGCAATTTCAAATACTTCAAGTGCCTCGAGGGTCCGAGCTCGGGCTCGCTACGGCCAGCGCTGGACCTCATGATGTGCGTTCGAGACTCTGAGGCGGCCTGGATGATGACATATAAATCTCCACTTTTATCAGCGGTCGGCCTCGCAGAGGACGACAACATTGAACAACACCGCGGGCGATAGAAATCTTTGATGTATGCGCGGAAGTGTCGAGGCTGGATAAGCAGGAGTTAAGGTCACGCGCTTTGACTGGCGGAAGAACAATCTAGAAGCGCGGTGCGATGTTTAGGTTTGCACTCAAAGTTGATCGCTTGCGCTTCCCACGAGCTTCCGGCCCAGCGATCGATCGGAACGAAGGAAACGATTCCGATTCCTTTGGAGTTGGATGGTCTTTGAACCGGCGCGATTAAGCGCTTATACGATTGTCATTTACCAAAGTTCAAAGAGTCGGCGGTCTGTCGTATGGACTACGCACTCGAGCGATCTGCTTCATCGGGATACTTGCTCCACGTAATGCGTGACCATCCGATACCGTCCGACATCTGTTTCGCGTGTGTCAAGTGGCCGAACAGAGCGGCCGTTTTCTGTTTAGAATCCTGCCGCCGCCAACGCCGCCATGGCTGTTGGCAACAGTACTCGTTGCGACGTTTCGTCATGTTTTGTCCATTTCAACGACGCACAGCAGCAACTGCTGTCGATGGCAACGATCACCAGCAGCTAGCCTGTGGAAGCGACGATGCCGCCGACGCTACAAGCCGTGCGTTCGGTCGAAGCTCGCCGCCGTCAAGCGTCGAGCGTCGCCAGCCACCAGCTGACAACCAGACGATGAGAGAAAAAAAGAGAGGAGGCCAGGGAGAGGGCTGTTGTGGAACGGGCGCTGCCGATGGTGGAATGGTTTTGTGTTCGATCTATGTGCCTTGCCGTGTTGCTGGTGGTGCTACTGCTCCTGCTACTGCTGCTACTCCCGCCGTGGAATAGTTCCATTCTGCTGCTGCTGCTGCCGCTATTGACGCCGCCGCAGACGGTCACCGAAGTAAGGACAACGACGACAATCGCCAACGGGGCGGCGACGACCACGGCTACGGCAATTCGAGAAAGAAAAACGACAAACTCGGGGATGATGATGACGACTTCTTCCACGACCACCACTCGACAACGACAGTTATAACGAAGACGGCAAAGCAAACGAGTTTTGATCTAATCGCTAGACCGCTTCAGCTCCGAATAGGAAAAAGAATTTGAGCGAAACCCCACCGCGGAATCAGTTCTACTCTCCGAATCGAAACGTCGTCCCAATCTATCAACTACGCTAAGGTGTGAGACCGACGTCGTCCATAGAGCCTTCCATAGATGTGTTTACGGTTGTGAATGGTGTGTAGTATGTGTTTTCGAACTTCTCTGTCCCGACGTCGGAATCGGCCCGCCACCGAGATTGTGAAAGACAAGAAAATAACGCGGATTATTTGCTCACGCTTCGGCGATCCATTGATCGAGAAATCGGTGACTTTGTCGGCCAGACGTTGGGGGGATCGGACGGTTGTCGATCACGTTTCCAGAAACCGTCGATCGCATTGCTACCCTCAAGTGTGACTGAGTGCGTATGAGTGTGTGAGTGTGAAAGTGATCGGTCGGGGAACTCTGAACGGTCGTGGATGTCTTCGAAATTGGCATTTGTTTAGGTGCTGTTCATTATAGGGAATGAAGCTCTTCTGGAACGAGCCTTCGACCTCGGGGCCGCGATATCCAATGGGTAATTCAGCTTAGAAGGTTTCTATGTTTTCATCGAACGTGCAACCGAGTTGACCCGTTGGATTTTCCCTATTACAGGTAAAACGTTCCCCTCCGAAGGCCGGACTGGGGACCCTTCAGCGACCCCTGGCGAGCGACTACGGCAAACAGGGTGCGGGCAACCCGCGGCGGCCGAAGATCATTGTCACACAGGCCGACGGCTCCGACGACGCGACTTGGAAAAGGGAACAGGATAAACGAAGATTGCAACCTCGTGGGAGATCTGCATCTTCACCGAGTAGTTCGGATTCCGCTCACGAGTCGGTTATGGTATTTGTCGGATCCGTAAGGGCACTCGACGCCCAAAACTCCACGGCCGTGCTGTATCCCTTCGCGCATCAGGTGGGTAGAAGAGCTCCGTCTCTGGAGCCGGAATCAATGCCAGCTGTATGGACGACGATCGAGAAGCTTGTTCTCGACGTTTGTGTCTGTCTGTGATTAGCCTCGGCCAGACACATGTTTTCGTCTTGCATGAGTTGTGCAATGACAAGAGCCGTCGTGTCATAGCTCTGGAATCTCGATGAATGAGTGGGAAAAAAACATGAGAATCACGGCAGTGAAGCCCGATTTGAATTCATCGCTGGCTAGGAACCGATCCACAGAAGATGGAATTTTTACTTTCGATCGTCCCTGTAATTGTTGACGGAAGTTTTTGGCCGGTCGAGGGCAACGCCAATGGAGAGAATTTTTCGTGATCGTCGCCGACGACGATCGTCCGCGGATTAGTCCAGGAGTGTCTCTCGAGACCGTGTGAGCGAGCCGATTACACTCGTTCTGGGTTGGGAAAAGTATAAAATTATCATCGGTTCCGACGCGACGGTTACCATTCAATTTTTTGCCGCCGTGCCGGCAGGCATGAGTCGTTGACGAATTATTTCTTTCATTTGACGTCTTCTTCCCTCCGCTGGATCCCCGTGGTGTACCAGAGCCTTATCCGCATTCGCGAACATTGAGCTCGTCGCAATAAGATGGCTTCTCTCAAATTCAATCCATCGATGCTGATCGCGGGCGGGCACTAGGCACGTCGACCAGCATTATCGAAGATGCATGGGGCAGAGTGCGATGAGGAGGTGCCCCTTGTAATCAAAAGGAATTTTCCAGCAGCGACGTTTCATATTCAGATAGCGCACCGAATTGGGTTGCAGCGTAAACACTCTAGGGGAGCGTCGACGATGACGGAAGCCCATGATGCTGGGGAGCTCTTGAGGACGGAAAATTATCCGGAAGAGTCATTTTTCAGCAAACAAAATGGACTTCTCGTTTGAGCTCCCTTTCCTTGCGAGAATACATGAAATTCGAACCGATTCGGGTCGAGTGTGTGTGTGTGTACCTGGACTAATCCTTCGCTCTTGTCGTCAGATAAAACCAACAGGAATCTTTTCTCTCGTTCCAGGTGGGAGGTCACACTCAGATGCTGCTCCTGGATAAGAGTACATTATGCAAACCCTTGATAAATCGCGAGTTGCAATTTTATCTGGACATGCCCCGAGACCTGAGACCCTTCACGCCTCAACACAAGGGCGTGATCAGGGTCCACAGTTACTCGGATGACGATTCGATCCTGAGTTACCATCCCCACAAACACGAAGGTGCGTGTCAGAATTGCCTCGATGAAAAATAGTCGCAACCGATCATTGTTATGAATTATTATTATTCCGTATTGAATGAAGTTTCCGAAGTTCGAATCAGCGAGACTGAGCTCTCCCGTCGTGGCCTTCAATTAATCTCGCGTCTCTCACTGTATCCTACAGCCATAAATAAGCGCCATTCCTCGGACGATCTGTCGAGATGGCAGCGCCGACACGACATGCGACAGGCCAACTCTCTGAAAGTTCAGATATGCTCGTGCTCCGAGGAGCGCCACCTTCTCCAGCGGCGTCAGAGTAGACCGTGTGCCCAGGACAACGGCGGCGGCGGCGGCGATAAGGTAATTCCGCAATCGGGACGGGATCGGCTTTCTTCTGAATCGAGTTTATCGAAATCGCTGATTCAGGATCAATTTCGCGGACAACGAATAACGTTCCCCCGTTCACGTTTTCCCCAAAAAGGTTCATCATCGATACTTCCTCCTGTTAGAGAATGTCGTCTCCCGTTTCCATCGTCCATGTATCCTAGATCTGAAAATGGGTACTCGGCAGCACGGCGACGACGCCACCGACGAGAAGAAAAACAGGCAGATGGCCAAGTGTGCGGCTTCGACTTCAGCAAACCTTGGTGTCCGACTATGTGGAATGCAGGTAAACAACTCTTTCGACCCTGTGGTTTTGACCCCATTTCTGATAGCCGAGATAGCACTCATTCTCGCTGCATACATTTGGAGGACACGGTCAAGAGGGAGGAGGTGGTTTTCCAGTTCGGTTGCTTCTCCACAGGTATTTCAAGCGGACATACGAGCGTTCTACTGGAAGGACAAGTATTACGGACGAAGATTGGACGATCAAGGCTTCCGGAACAGTCTCTACCAATTCTTCCACAACGGGTTCCAATTACGCACCGACGTTATTGACTTGATTGCCGAGAGATTGGTGAAATTGAGGAAAGCCATTGAGAAACAGAACTCGTTCAGATTCTACTCGTCCTCGCTCCTCATCATCTATGAAGGGTGAGTTCAACAAACCACCATCAATCGTATGGGCGAGGCAAGAACCGCACGCATCGAGATGATTTCATTGAGCTTCGACGCTCGTATGAGAGCTCGCCGTTGCCTGCCTGCCTGCCTGCCTGACTGGTCCGGGTGAGGCTCTGGCCGGCATCCAGCTGGTGACGAGCTGACATTTCGAGTATTCGAAGCCTGACGTTCGGCCAGATACCGGAATGATGCCACCTGTCTGGGATTCGCGAGAGCATTGAACTCCTGATAGGGAAACTTCTGGGGAGAGAGGGAGGGAGTCCCTCGTTATTATTTCGTTATCACGTGATTGCTTTCATTGGTATTCTCGACTATCGGACATTCGCTGCTCCGCTGTGAATTGGGAGAATTCATGAGTTGCCTCGCTCCGAGAACTCCGCCTTCAAGACATTGAGGGGAACCTTTTCCGCACGATACTTCCTGTAGAGGATCCGGAAGAGGATAAGTTAACCTTCCCCATCCATCTGCGGAGCCTATCTCCCTCGTCTAACGCTCGATTTCGTTCTCCAGATGCGAAGACCTCGAAGATGGTCTTTCGGACCCCGAGGACGCGGAAGAAGGTGAAATGATGGAGGACGTGATGGATTTCGCTTCCTGCTCGGGTGACGTTGACGATTCGTCCATGGATTCGTCGCTGGATTCCGCTCCCTCGTCCCACTTGAAATCGGGCCGCAGGTGGAGCACAAAGCCTTCGCATCGAGAACTGCATGGTCCGCAGGTCGATGTGCGCGTCATAGATTTCGCACATACCACTTACGAGGGCTATGAAGGCGACACGAAAGTTCATAAAGGACCAGATGCCGGATATCTGCTCGGTGAGTGAACCGTCGATGGGGCTCGACGCGCGGCAAAGAGATACGCTCACGAAAATTCGAGGTGCGTCCACCTACCGCACAGAGAGCGCGATATCCGTCGCTTACGAAAACTTGGCAAATATTCCAGGTCTAGACAATCTGGTGGAGATGCTCCGTGAAGTGAAGAATGGACGCGGGACAGGCGGTCAATGCGAGCCGGAGTCGTCTGCGAGCCACGACGACGACGACGGCATCACCGACGTCGATTCGACTCCCCACTTGTAAATAGTGGAGCTTACGAACAACAACATCGACCCTCCACAGAAAGTGTATAAACGATCTTTGGTGACACAAACGTATTCGCACCGCACGTATGGTGAGACCCGCCTACGACCTTGTGAACAAAACCCTCAAACGCCCTCTTGGGCATTCTGTATCTTCAGCATGATGTACATATCTCATTACCACAACAGCGATGTTCGTTGTAGCCTTGTTCTGATGAGACTTCTGGCTACCGTTGGGTCATTCGATGACTTTCTTTCTTGCCGCTCCACGAACATTTTCCGAACCAGCGAACATTTTCTTCGTTCTTAGCCATTCGCTCCCAAGCGTTTTGACCAAACAATGGAACCCATCAATTTTTAGATTGATTGATTGATAATCTCAAGACGTAGACTCTGCCAGCCGAGAAAATGCTGGTACCGAGACAAACTCAGTAATTCGAAAACTAGAGACGAGCAGTAGCTTCACGATGCACGAACGGCCAGTGCGGAAACGTCACAAGACTTTTCTAGTGGACGAGTTTGCGTACGCGTGAATTTTCGAAATGGCAGTATTTTCTTGTAAATATCGTTGCAAATGAGATCTTGGAGCTCGCGCCCGGAAGCAACCGAAGTTTCACGATGATGGAAGCAAAACCTGTCAAGCGAACGGAGGAAAACGCAATCGAACGGGTGTGGCGGCGACTGCCGTGTACTATACGACGATTGATTGAATTACCGTTCTGGCAAATGTGATAAGAGTGAGTGTGAGTACTGTTCAGTTGTTCCTATGGTCTGTTGACGACTGCAATAATGAGACGTCGTAGAAACTCTCGACATACAAATCCCAAGAGCGATGCCGAACGGTGATGATTTTTTTCTATTCACGCGAACGTATAGAGCGCCCGGAGCGAGATTCCATTCCGGCATCGGCTGATGGTGTCCCGCTGCCGAGCAAGGTCGGATGGGCGGAAGAAGAATGTTCGATTCGTGGAGTATAGTGTACACATAGGTACGGTGACAAGCTCTTATTTCGTAGTGTCTGTTCCGGGACTGTAACCGGGGTTTGAAACAACTTCGATCTCTGAGAAGGCATTCCAATCACGGACTATATACTCAGAGCGAAAAATCAAGTTCAATCCATCAGGAGACACACGATCGTCGATTCCAGCGGACGATTTCGGAAACGTAGAGCAGGAATATCATTGATTAGAGCAGCTTGTACTTGAAGTTTTCTCCCGCCGGGGCTCTACCCGCCCCCCTGTATCTCCGATGCTTCCGGAACTTGGTGATCGACCATTAGTCATATCTCGAGTTTTTCCAAGCTGCTGGATGAAGATCCGAGAGTCTGCATGTACTTGAGTTGGAATGTAGTCAAACAGTCGGCTCACACACGGTAGATTTGCTAAAGAATAGCTGGCAGACATCTATTTTGTGGAATTCGTACTCATCCTGGAAGTTCAACCCGGAATAATAATCTAGACTGTAAAGGAACGACGTGCGATGAAGTATTCACAAGTTATATGATCTACCTGATATCCTAAGACATCCTATCCTGATGATGGAGTAGATTCAAAGTAATTGACCTATTATTTTGGAAGTAGTGTTATTCATCCTGTATTCTCTCAGGGCACGCTCCGTCTCCTCCGGAGACATCCGACGAACCTCGGACTTCGTAGCATGAAAATTACCACTTGATCCATCTCTGAAACCGTCACCGAAATACGTTATAAGTTTATGTTCATTGTGAGACCTGCGGGAATATCAGCTGAGCGGAGTGGGGCTCGATCATTCATTCGGTCGAACTCGTCACCGAATCACTCATTCAATCAAACGAAAAGTGAAGACGTTGCCGCGTGTTATGCTGCCTGACTGCATTTTGCTGCACGTTCTGTGGGACGTAGGCACAAAGCTATTGAGCGATGGCCGCAATAAAGTTATTTAATTCAGAATAAAACACTCGAACGGAACTTTTCTGTCCATCATTCCAAGTTCGTTGACCTCCGAATCGCTTCGGCATTCTTTAGGCGAAGTCTCCCTCGCTCCGGAGTCTCATCGATTACAGGGACTGCATCGACGCGAGAGATCTTCTTGAGATCGGCGAGATTTCCTTCGCAGCTCACAGTCCTTTCCGGGTGTCCAACAAGAAGCGTCCAATCCAGCAGAATCAATGCCGAATCCCGACGGGCAATCGCAAGTCACCGCGTTAATCAAACGTGTGTTCCACTTCGTGAAATGCCACAACGACGCCTATCGTGCGGGAGGTGGCATGGTGTGTGTCCGATCCCTGCTGCCGGCGAGATGTTCCTCACGGAATTTCTTTCAACGAAGTTCCCTCACGGAGCAGCAGATACCCGGCCTTGATCCTCCGCGGTACATCTGATCGCTGGATCCGTCTTCGGGATCGGGAAGCTATGGGAGAAGCAAACCCTTGGACGCTAAACCTTTGCTGTGTGGTCCAATCCGAGCAAGTATAGAATCGAAGCCCATTGACCGGGCATCCGAATAATAGTGTCAACCCACTAGAAGGAGGCAGAGCTTCTATGTTTCGAACGGTTCCCTCAGGAGTTTCCCATTCTTCATCGGACGTCCCGGTTGTTGAAGAATTCGCATATTAAAATATCCGAGGCTCACAGGACACTCCCAACGTTTTCCGCCGTCTTCGAGGGGACCAGTGTGTCCTCGCCTCTCCCTGGAGGAGAGCGTCCTGGACTCCATCGGAGGAGGGCTCCCTCTGGGCCCTACAGTGGAGAGCTTCGTGCCGTCTGGGATATTCTTCTGAAACATGGGTACAGAAAAGCCGCCAGAGGATGTCCGTAAGGTTCCTGCCTATCGAAGACGACGCGGCACCGGTGATACCATCCGTGACGAGCAATTCGGTCTGATGAGTAGTCTGGCCAGGAAGGAGAGGAGGCGCGAAAAATTCCTCAGCAGTCGATAAGTTCCCAGAGTCCTGGGACGGTCCACTGTAAACCCTCGCGGGCTTCCTAGTCGAGCAGAATACAGGGTGGATGTGGGGGGAATGAGCCCGTTTTCTTCCTGCAGCTCTGGGCTTAAGTCAAGGCTCCGTCAGAGCTCCCCCTCCAACGAATGTGTGGCCGTGACCAACGTGGAGTGTTCGTAAACGCCGATGCATAGTCTTATCCGGAGCTACCAGTTTTCAGGCCTTCCTACTTCCTCTGTGTGGGTGAAGAGGCCGCGATTTTGTGTGGGAAACGGTTCCAGTTCTCGGCCGACTTCGGCAACCCCCATCGACCTCGGCACAGGCGGAGATTCCCACTCCCTTTCCAGAGTCTCGTTGTGGTCGGGTAAATCATCCTGAAAAGGAGCCGGGAGGCGGAACAAGAATCTATGCGTGTTCCTATCCGATGGATTTCGATACCGCCATAGAGCGATCCGGTGCGATGTTTGAAATGCAGAAAACGGAAGCTCGCGGCATCGATAGGAGAGCCAAGTGAAATGCAATGCAATTAAGGGAACACTCGCCGAACGCCAAGCCCGCAAGCCATAAGCTAAACGGGATTGCGAGCGAAACCGGGGCTTCCACCTTCCCCTTCCCTCCATCTGCGATCACCGGGCCGACGGGGAATTCTCTACCAGGGATCCATCACACAAATTGATCCCCCTGTGCAGCGACCGGCAATGCATGCTCTTCGAGAGCATCGAACACCACGACACATGGGGATCGAATCTTCCTCCGGAGGATTCTGTCGTCTTCTTCTGATCGTTGCTACCGAACGCCCTCCCTGAGGCAATGGAGCCATCTTCCCGAAAATACGATTTCCTCAAAAAACAGCACGGACTGTAGTTCTGCTCTCATACCTGTCGAAGACTTCTCCTAGAGAAGGGTGTGCAGAAATCGAACTGGGCCGACAAGGGGTGCTTCGTTCACTGGCTCCGCGATCGCTGGTGGTTCCATAACTGAAACTTTTTTGGGGAAAAATCCCAATGCATGCTGAATGAGAGAGGCCCCTCCACCGGACAGGTTGTCCGCAGGGCTGATATAGGTATGAGGGTTGACCGCCGACGCCGACCACCGTTGCATAGGATCACCTCGAAGGCGACTAGAGGTCGAAATGTAGTCCGTGAAGCCCGTTCCGTCAAGGACCGCTCGTGAGCCGGGAACGAACTTCGTGTATGACACTACCCCATCAGAGGGCTGCATGTTTGGGATTTGGGCGGCTATTCGACCGACAGGGGACTGGTCAGGATCTTCTCCAGGGTTTCTTCCGTAAGTTCCGACAGGGTTTCCTTGAGAATCACCATTAGGCTGACAGTTCGGGTTCACTGTCGGGTTTTCGGAGAGGCTCCCTTCCTTTTAAACGGTCTGATGAGATCTCCCTGGCTTTGGACTCCATCCGCGTGGCTTGTCGAATCCGCTGGTCCCTGATCCATTCGGGTTGGTTTCGCTGGACGTAACCTTCTTCGCGAGCAATATCTCATAGGTGAGATCTGGCAATCCAGGAACTCCTTCTTCGGGTTGAAACTCAGCCCGGGGAAAGATTTGGCGCCCGAATGGTATAGCTAGTGTTGCGCACACAGCCCAGAGCCACCCCCTCTTGAGCTTGCCTTATCATTTCTACGGGAGAGTCGAACTCAAACCAATTATAGCCATCGATAAAAATATCTCTCTCGCGCTTCGATAGAGGAGCGCTATTCCCCAGAAGACCAGTAGAGCCATCCGAGGATCGACAGTGACTTCTTCGGTTGTACAACCCCGAATGCGCCGCAGCGAACCTCCGCTGGGCTCTGCCATTTTAGTCTCGGGTGTAATTCTTAGACGAACATCGATTTCGGCGGCATGCCCCAAATACAGTCTTCATAATTCCGCCTGACACCCAGAAGTCGGAAGCTTGGAAATCCTCCTCCTGACTCCTTACTGCGGGGAGATCCTCCGTTCAAAGATTCACGATCGCTTGTTTCCCTGCCGATCTAGTCAAGCGGAGATCAGGGAAGTTTTCGAAGATGGGATGCGCCATAGGTAGATTGTTTTACCGCTGGTTCAAATCATTAGTCGGTGGAGCAATGGAGCGCCAAGTTGCGGTTCAGAACTGAACCGATATCGCCGAGCACTCGCCTAGCCGCAATGGCCGTTCGTCACGTGAGCTTTCCGGTGATCTTCATCGGCGTTAACACATTATGGTCGAGTAATGATTGCTGAGCATCAGGCTTTTTTCGCTTCAACTCGATCAAGCCGCTCGAATGGAGGAACGATTCTCGGTGATGATCTAATCACGCTTCTTCTTAAATCAAGTTCACTGAGGCGTGTCGTCTTCCTTGCTAACCGCAAATAGCATCCCCCTCTAAGCCTTTCAAATTCGGTGAATACCGCTCAGGAATTCGCATAAGAATATCTTAGGAGTTCAAAGAGTCGGAGCCCTATCCCAATCATTTATTCATACTATCGGACCCTGATTCTGAAGATTGCATGTTGCAATAATTGACCTTCTCAGCGATGACGGCACCGGTGTCGACTTGAATACTATGCACTTCGCCAGAGATGCGCTAGGCACTTCGCGCCGCTCTCTGAATGTACGCGCGGACATCTTGTGAGTCTCCTAGGGCGGACCCGCTGGGATTGTGCCAGCAATTTCTTTCAGAATGTGAATGGTATGAGAGATCTCGGATTCTAGCAGGAGTGCTGAGGAATAAATTGAGAACCGGTGGCTCAAACCTGAACGGGGTCCAGCTCCACTAGGAAAATGCTCTCACTCACGTTCCGGACTTCTGAGCCGTACTCGTGGAGATCAGCCGTAGGTGGGGGGAAGTCTTAGAATCACCCAGTTCGGGTCTGGGATGAACGATCCTCGAATGTCCGCTTTTTAGTCGAAGAAGTCAGTTACAGCCTGTTTGAACTGGGGATTTCTGTTTTTGTCCAGCGAGTTGAAACGATAAGGCCGGGGCAGGGGGGGGATACAGAAAGATTACGCGCCTCTCCAAGGCCTATACCCGAGTATTATGACCGACACGTCTTGGAGGGGGCCATAACCCTTGCCCCCATCCCCATCCAGGATCCGCCACTAGATGAAACTTTATGATAAGGTTTTATACACGAAGGCTAGGGTCCCCGAACTCAGTTCCCCACGGTATAAGCCGCGAGCCTCTCGCTCATGCATCGTGCGAGCTACCCTTAGGTAACAGAGAGTATCCGTTCATAGTTGCTTCCTTCCAATACGAACCCGTCCTTGAGATATTTTGCTAGAGATTGGGGAGCCTTGGAAAGCTCCGATTGAAAGTCTTGAATTGAATGGGTTGAGTCGTTCCCGCAATTTCGATTTTCTTTCGGGGCGGTGCCCCACTCCGTATCTGATCGAAAAACTGGTTGGGAGACCGAGGACTCGAATGCGATCAAGAAACCTTCGCCAAGGAGGAGCCAGAATCCCCAGACAAGAGAGCGAATCCTCCAAAGGGATGGGTCGGTGGGGCAAAGCTCCCCCGCCGGATTAGTTCATGCCAAAAAGCTGAAGCATGGGTCTCGGTGAAGCGCGTCATCAGTTCCACATCTCGAGAAGCGAGCTTCCGCCGCCCTCCTCTCTCCCGGAAGGAATCGGCGAGCACGTTCCAGCGTAGAGTCATGCAATGTGAGCACCTCCGTCAACTCGACACGAACGGTCGACCCAGTCGATCATACTCATGTAGGAGCAACGCACAGCTCTGTCAACTCCCACATAGGAGAAGGCAGTCTAGCCAGCCATCCAGCTAACGGGCGAGCAAGCGAAAAGTCCGCCCTCACGGCGCATGCGTGATGTGAATGAAGTCAAGTGAGGGCTCGGCTCCGTCCGTAGCTTCGTCTAGCGGTGGCCACCTTCAGTCCATCAGTGTGGTTCGTGTCAAGCTAAAACTGACTGTTTGGATTGGTATTTGGTTCGTGAGTTACACGGGTGCCAGTTTGCATGGACTCAGGATCAAATGATGTGAGTTTCCCATGATCTGCTCGTCAGAATCTCTATCCTTGAATATCACCC